ATAACGGCAAAGTCGAATTGATCAGATGAACAAAAAACAATTATAGTTACTTAGTCATGTTGACATCAAGTGACAAGCTGATAACTAAAGTCACTTAGGATCAGTTTCAGTGATAATTATCAATGGGCATTTTCCGCACACAATTTTTTTGAAATGTAGAGACGAGACTTCAGAACAAAGCCCATGTTACACTCACACTGTGTAATGTTAATAAGTATCCTTGTATTGTTGATTCGTTATTGATTTTACTGCATCCGCTGTCAATGTTAGATGTTGCTGAGATAACATTTATAATAGTGGAATACATGTATGGAATAATCACAACTGACAGACAATATTATCACCACAAAAAAGGGCTGTTCCACTTGTCCATGATGTAATTTGTGCTATGTGTACAAACATGAACGAACAAAGGAGATATATATAAAGAGCATACCTCATACGTGAAAAGAGGTAAAAGAAATACAGCGATACCCACATCACAAACAGATCTGAGGAAAAAATAAATCTATAATACACAGAGCTGGGCACAACACAAAGATACCTATACAATAAACAGACTACAGAGACACCTATACAACAGGTAGAGCGGAGTAAAATTCGAGATACAACAGAGTTGAGCACAATAAGGAGATACTAACACCCTATCCCACACAGTCAGGATCACTGTGATGGATTACAGAGATACCGACACAATACTTGTCTCTGTATAATGCTTAGCACTCCCTCTGTCTATCTTCCTAGCACTCTCTTAGCTCTCCCACTCACAATCTCATCTTTAGTAGTGCTCCTGATGTGATAACTTCAGCTTTCTAGTAAAAATTGATGCTATTATGAAACATGTCAGCTACTCCATTAGCTCTCAGCACACAGTTTGTACATGGTTAAGCCATCACGATACTGAGAGAATCCAACCATATCAGCTACTCCTGATTCACTGTTAGCTCTCAGCAGATGGTGTACACAGGGTTAAAACAGCAGGATACTGATAGATTCCATATTACATTTGCTGCTGGTAATATAAAGTCAAGAAGTAGCTGACATGGTTAACAGAAGTAGCAATCATTACTGATTGAAACAGATTGAAATCCGAATCAGATCAGTCCTTAGAGTCACAGCCCCAGTCCTGCAGTTTGAAGCTTCACACCGTTTCAGTTAACCACAGCATGAGTGTCTCAGGTTTCAGCTGTAGAATGACTAAAAACTTTAAAGAAGGTGAATATGTGCAGTAGGAGTTAGTAGAACTATTAGTGACAGCTAGTACAGTGCTCTGTGTCAGAGTCAAATGTCCAAACGGATACCAATAATGGGGAGGTGACCTACAGAACTGAAACCTTTTACAGAATTAAAGATACATTACATTTTCCCCCCATATTTTTTGGCTTACCACCCTCTTCTCCAGAAAAAAATAATATTTGTGTGTTTCTAAACTTCTGCATATAAATGTTTGCCTAAGTGCCCCGTGGACGAGCCTCCACTTCTGGTACTTTGACTACTAAAAAAACAAAAAAATTTAACTCACAACGGATACATTGATAATATTTAATAAATGTGAAATTTGCCTATAAAAAACAAGTGTGTTCGGAAATAGTACATGCAGTTTGTTTTTCCTTATAGACTTATATGTTTTAAACCATAATTAAATATACCTGCCTCATCATGAAGTATATTTTATCTGAAAAGTAAACTGTTGTCGAAATATTTACTGTCTATCTGTAGAAATATAGGTAACCAATTTACAAACAAATGTTGGACATGGTTGGACCAAAGAAAGGGGTCATCTCTTTCAATTATGTAGAAAAAAAACCTACAAGTGGAAAGGCAGGCATACGGGAGAGATGATATACACACAGAAAGTCGAGAAACATAGTGCTAGAAAAAGACTATTTGAAAAGTAAGGAAAGGTCTCTATAAAAACTCATTGTACCAAATGCTCAATGCAAATAATAAAATAACAATATTTTTAAGTCAATCTTTAACTGTTATTGTAGGCCTGAACTATTAGTAAAAAAAAAAAAAGTAGCCACCACTTCTCTGGAAATTGCACCATTAAATAAAACATTGAAAATCACCTTTAATGTGATTTTCATTAAAAGTGATAACCTTTAAAAAAGGTGTTCTCCATTCTTCCATATGTTCTTTTAAATGTTTATTTAAGATTTAGTTGACATCAGAATCCAGTTCAGTCCAGGCACAGGTAGGGCCAGGGATGTATTTACCACAAGGCAAACTAACTCTCTCTAAGCAACATAACACTACGGCTTGCTGAAATTATGGCCATACGGTGTATAAATCAACTATTGCTTCAAAGTACATGATCAGAAAATATGAGAAGTGCCATGCTAGCTGTTTAAACTTCAAGAGACTCTCTCCAAACCTATTCTTTACTGTGTCCACCTATGCTAACAGGTTCCTTAACAAGTTAATGTAATGGAGCCTCACTGCGTTGCTGTCCAATCAGTACTGCTGTCAGCTTTGGCAGATTTTCCATTCATCTTAGCTGATGAATGTAATTGCTACCATGCCTAGGGTGGCACTTTCAGGGGGGGCGCCAAAAATCCCCACCCCAAACTACCAGGCAAATGCCTTGTTTGCCTCGTGTTCTGGGGCTGTCCACCTTACTGTGAGTGAGTGAGTGTAGCTGTCAGTGTGTGTCTGTGACTGAGTGAAAGTGTGTGTTTCTTTCAATGAGAATGGGTGTGCGTGTGAGTGTGTGTCAGTGTGTGTATGTCATTTTATGTGTATCTGAGAGTGTGTGCCTGTCAGTGAGTGGGTGTGTCAGTGTGTGTCTGTCAGTGAAAGTGTGTGTTGGTTAAACAGTGTGTGCCAATGACTGTGTATCTGTCAGTGAGTGTATATCAGTGCATGTATCAATAAGGGTATGTGTCTGTCAGTCACAAAAGTGGCCTTGACGTGAATTGGGGGGGCAAATTTAGATTTTGGGGGTTCCCGAATTTAGTCGTGCCTAGGGCAGCACAAATCCAAAATACACCACTGGGTAGGGCAATCAGTGCAAATAAGGAGCAGAAAAAGAAACACTTTGTACTTATTTTCCTTGATTTACTATATCCAAAAACAGAAAAGGCCAGAACTTATAACAATGATTGACAGAGTGCCAACATGGCAGCACTCAGCTCTAGGTTAGAACTAAATACAGTGGTGTAGATTTAATATTGTTTTTCAGCCCTCATAAATACATATCTTTTAAATATAAGATATTGCTATGCATTACAAATCCTGGAAAGTGACAGTCCTTTAAATTGCAAGATAAAGCCGAATTGAAAAAATACTCCAAAGAAGATATATTTTTTAACTTTATTATTCTGGCCTATGTTTTGCTGTTTGGCTTTTATTTCATCATATTCCCATGTTTATTAAATAAACCCAATAAAGTAACTACATATACCATATAGAGGCATGTGTTTATAAGCAGAGAGCATTGCTATTCTCCAAACAGCATCTTTGAGGAAGTGGATTATCTGTAAGGCTGGACTGAAATTACTGTATAGTTGTTCCAGTTCCAGAAGTCGGAGGCAGATGTAGGTCAATCTAATTCATTCCTGTATTTCTTTAACATGCAGCTTGGGGCTTGTAGAACAGCAATATGGTGAAATTACAAAATGGACACTTGGTTTCTATAGATGATAATTTAAATGATCATTCTTAATCACAATTTAAAGGTAGTGCAGTTTGTAGGATGAGGGGTCACCTGCTCCCTGTTGCCCTAATCTGTGGACAATCATAAAAGCTTAGATGAGCAAATGTTAAAAATAATAGCCAGAACAATAATTGAAACAACTATTAATACCGTAACCAGATAAGAGTGAAGCATTACATTTGAGACACATAGGCCATATTTCATTGGTATGAATTGTGAGTTGATAATAGACTTTAAGATTTGTATACTTAAGAACTACAAATTTGGGCAGATCGTTCACATTTTTCATTTACGAATCAGGCATATAGATTAATCACAAAACAAATGACTTGCGCAGTGGATAAACATGTTCACTGGCATTCGTGGTTTAGAATTCTGCCAGTGGCCCCCCCAAAAAGATGGTCACAGATTATTTGAGAAATGTCCAATAGAGGGAAAAAAGGAGGAGCATTAAAACATTCTATATTTGTATATCTATATACTGTAAATTTATAAATATAGATTTTTTTTTTACTGCTTCTCTTCATTTTCCCTCTATTGGTTACTTTTTCTCATTTTATTTTGAACCAAATGCACTTATCTGTGTACGGTGAATATATTTTAAAAATATATATTTTCTCACCCCTCCTGCGTGGTATATTTATTGGTATATTTATTCCTCATTCTCGGGTCCTCTACCAGCCTGAGAGTCTGAGGGTCCTGAGCAGTATCGTAGCTGTTTCTAGAATTACACTCTCCTGGACAGCGATCTCAGATGTTCCACCTGGAATCTGTTGAAGACACTCCCAGAACTTGGGAGTCACAGCCCTGAGGGCTTCTATCACAACTGCTGCCTTCCCTTTCAACATCTTTTCTAGATCTCCTTTCAGTCCTTGGTATTTGTCCATCTTCCTTCTTTCTGATTTTTTAGTCACAAGCTATTGCCACATCCACCACCACTGCAGTCTTCTGTTCCTTGTCTATCACCACAATGTCAGGTTGGCTTGCCAGTACTTGCTTGTCTGTCTGGATCTGGATGTCCTACAGTATCTTAGCCCTGTCATTCTCAACTACACTGTTTGGTATCTCCCATTGGAACTTAGTCAAGTCTAGCCCATATTCTGTGCAGATGCTTCAGTACACAATCCTTGCAACGTGATTGTGTCTCTCAATATATGGTGTTCGTGCTAAAATCTTGCAAACGGCCACTATGTGCTGGATTGTCTCAGATGCTTCTTTACACAGCCTTGGGTCTTGCCTGTTGTGGTAGGTATATACAGGGCCGGCGCTACCATTAGGTGATTAAGGCATTCACCTAGGGGGCCGGCCTGTTGGGGGTGCCCCTAGGAGGTTTCCCGGTGGGCAACACTGCTGCCTTCTGGGCTGGTGTACTGGGCGAGCGGCTCCTTGGCCACCCCCAGCTCGTTACCTTTCGAAGTCCTGTAATTGGAATGAGTACACTTTAAATCCTTTAATGAGGATCTATTGGAGGGCAAGTCTGATGCTAGCAGCCGCTGTAATTCCAGCTCCAATAGCGTATATTAAAGTTGCTGCAGTTAAAAAGCTCGTAGTTGGATCTTGGGATCGAGCTGGCGGTCAAACTGCGATGTAACCACTGTATTTGACGGTTCTATTTGACTCTCAGATTTGAAGTGCACGCCCCAAATTTACTTTTTAGCACCAAAAAAAATGTGAATTAGTCAAACTGCAATGTCACAGCAGTATTTGACGGTTCTATTTGACTCTCAGATATGAAGTGCACGCCCCAAATTTTATTTTTAGCACCAAAAAAATGTGAATTAGTCAAACTGCTATGTCACAGCAGTATTTGACGGTTCTATTTGACTCTCAGATTTGAAGTGCACGCCCCAAATTTACTTTTTAGCACCAAAAGTGAATTAGTCAAACTGCAATGTCACAGCAGTATTTGACGGTTCTATTTGACTCTCAGATATGAAGTGCACGCCCCAAATTTAATTTTTAGCACCAAAAAAATTTGAATTAGTCAAACTGCGATGTAACCAAAGTATTTGATGGTTCTATTTGACTCTCAGATTTGAAGTGCACACCCCAAATTTAATTTGTGGCACCAAAGAAACGTGAATTTTTCAAAGTGCGATGTAACCACAGTATTTGACGTTTCTATTTCACTCTCAGATATGAAATGCACGCAGCAAATTTACTTTTTAGCACCAAAAAAATGTGAATTAGTCAAACTGCAATGTCACAGCAATATATGACGGTTCTATTTGACTCTCGGATTTGAAGTGCTAGCCCCAAATTTACTTTTTAGCACCAAAAAAATGTGAATTGGTCAAACTGCGATGTAAAATGCATGTAAATGCATGTTGACTACATTAAAACATAACAGGTAATATGGTTGTAATTTGAAAGTGGCAGATTAGGAGTCTAGTAGAATTGAAACCATGGTAAAAAAAACATGTGATACATGCATTGACTAGTGGTAACCGAGCTATGAGTGTCAGGAATGATTTGTTGATGATAGATAATAGGAAGATGATTGGAAAATGTCAATGTTTATATAATATTGAGTTCGTGGTACACGAGGCAAGCTTGATGAAAGTCATCTAAGCAGTAGAAGTGAAGAAGTATAATAGGGTAAGAGAGGCATCATTAGAAGATCATTTGGTGGGGATTTACTTCTAAAAATGGCAGACAAGAGAGCGCAAATGTATGAATTTGTCAGGGGGAGGGGATAACATTGTATTTTTGTGGAATAGGGAGGGATTAAAAGAAATTAAACTGAAGAGAGATACTATTGCACCGAATGTTTTTAGAATAAAACTGTGAAAGAGGAGTAATGTGGGAGGACAATTAACCATTTGAAAGTGCCATTTTATATATGTTGGAGGTGAGTCAAATGGCTATAGGTGGGTGATGACAAGGTTTAGATAGTAAGAAGAAGAGATCATGGAACAACGAATTGCTGAATATTTTGAGTGAAAGTTTTATAGATTTAATATTTTAGGTGGCAGCATCAGGTTGTGAAAATTAACCATGAAAAAGAGAGCAATATCAAATATGACCCTGTCAGGAATCCTGTACTTACCTTGGCGATCCACCAATCAGCTGTCTCTCCGATCTGTCAGACTGTCACTTCTGTGCCTCCTGAGCACTCCGACAGCCTCCTTGATGCTGGACGCTGTGCGCACGACCTACTTAATGACACAGCACACACGATCCGGTGTCATGACGTCAGTGGAGCCAAACACCAACACACTCATGTTTTGTGGGCATGGTTGCACTAAACACACCCCTAATCATATAAAAGCTCATTTAGCCCAGTACACAGTACCCTGTTGTGGTTCTTAGGTTTCTAGTGTTTATATTCTGTATTTTGTCCTTTTGGTATTTGACTCGGCTTTTCCCCTATCTATTCTGTTTTCTGGCTACCTTGACCCGGCTTTGGCTATCATTCTTGTGATTTTCTGGCTCCCTTTGACCTTGGCTTGTTCTGACGTTCCTTTATCAATTTTTAAAAAATGATCTGGCCACTCTAAGGACCGGTATAGGTACTACTTTCTCTATCTCTATTTCTAGTGGGTTTATATTCTGCGTGTTGGGTCACTTCGTGACAAACTCAAGGTGACTTGCACCATCAAAATAACATTACCAATAATTTTACTTACAAATATCTTTTTAAAACAACACATTTGTAGCAGTTGCTTAAAATCTTGAACACCACTAGATGTAAAAATTCGAATGGCTGAGTCCAGTTTCTTCTCAAACCTCCTTCATTATTTTCAGGTGGCATTCCCTGGTACTTAACACCCATGTATACCCATGCTTACAAATATATTCAACATCGTATTACCATTAACACACTTCACACAGTGCCCAGTCTGTCTCAAATCTGTCCAACATCCCAGTAAAAATAATCCCCATTTATGTAAAATACACCCATAAAATAATTATCTGTTTACTTCTGTGCTGATTGTTTCTTGGATTTGTTATTATTATTCTATGCAAAAGATATGCAAAAAATATTTTTGGGAATTTTTTTGTTCTTTTTTTTTTTAAATGTATTTGTTTTTCAGTAGGCCATTTTATTATATAAGTCAATTTGAAGAGTGTTTGTATAATGGATCATTGCATATCTGTAATTTCCAGGTACTTTCAAACACATTACACTTGAAATGTTTGTTCGTCTATAACATGGTGTTGATATGTCATATTAGCATATTATTATATATATATAGCTTATTTCCACTTTAGTAACCACAACATGTTGCACTGTATCCGAGTTAATAAATCATTGTCAATCAAACTGACTATAAAATTCAAGCACATTTTTATACACAGAACTTGCACACACCAAGATTACTTCAACATTGTAGATAGACATATGCAATTATGTGTTTTTTTTTTTTATATTGCCGATATAGGCAGTAAAGTTATTACATTGTTTATTTAATCATAACGATCTTTTCCCTATATCAGGCTTTTATTCAGTACAAATAAAAAAAGTTAGATTTTATTTCATTACTTTTCAATTTTATTTTAAAATCACAGGATTGTTGAAAGATGAAATGGCGTGGTGAAGCAGAGTTTTACTATGCCAGCCATTTTCTTTTTATTGATGCAGTATAACATTACTTAATGTCCAATTAATATTGAGCCAAAATAAAATCATTTTATGAAAGGAGATGAGAAACATAATCTTATTATCTTTTCTGCATTTTATTGAGAATGAAAATGTCTTAGCAGTCAATTTGTTGTTTTGAGTATGTTACAGTAAAAAATATAAAAATGTAATTACAGTTTCCTGGTAAAACTTTCTTAAAAAAAAAAGTCTTAAACAATGACTCTGGCAAGAGTTATAATCATTAAAAAATAAATGATAAATGAGTAGATTGATTATTAAATAGCTAAGCACATACAAAGTTTAATATGAAAATATTTATTCTGAATGCAATATGTTGGCCAAATCTTTTTATAGCCAGACATTTTATATCACAGCAATCCAGCAGTAGTATCACTTCAAATACATTCTTTTAAATGCAACTTATAGTCTTTAATTTTGGAATATGTCTTTTATGTTCTTATGACTTTAACTGGTGGACAGATAGATCGATAATGTATTAGATACTTCTGGCGAAATATCAATATTTTGAAGAGCAAAGTATAGCTAAATTCTTCATGGTGAATGCATTCACATCCTTCTCTTCCCCCTACCACACATAGTTAATCAGATTATGTGGAATTCATCAAATTTTAGCAATCTTCGTGACCCCTTAATGTCTGAAGCACAGAAATGTTCACTCACCCTTGCAGGTAAACACGGTCCAAGGTGACCAGGTAAGAAGCCACCTGGACTGTGAATCTGTGCAGGAAAATTGCTCCAATATGCAGACAAAGTCACAAGCAAAAGGATAGTCAAGTGTGAGCCGAAATCAGAGGAAGCCAGAGGTCAGGATAAATGGAGAGTAAAGCCAAGGTCAGAAGCCGGGGTCAATCTGGAGAACAAGTTCAGGAGACAAGAAAACAGAAACTACACACGATCACCAGAGTCAAAGAACTGACAAAGTTCCCAGGGCAAGGCAGTGCTTAAATATCCAGCTGATGAACGATCTGCCTCAGGTGAAGCACAGGTAATAGCCACAGAAGAAGTCCAGCCCTCAGTGCTGCAGACATAGCCAGGTGTAATAGGGCTAGAACAGCTTGAAATAAACAGAACTGCTGTGGCTCAAAAGCAGATAGCAGGCCCAAGACAGCAAAGTACCAAGGTACAAATTTCCTGTCGGGCACCCATTGGGCGGCCATGCCTGGCCATCTGTATGGTACGGTGAGAACCCTGACACTTAATAACCGTGGTGTGATATCTTCTGATGAATGTCCCTCGCTCTGCTTTTACCTTTCTTAGAAGTTGCATGTTTTCAAAATATGAGCATTAGCCACCATGATGACCTACTAACAAACGAGGGCATAATGAGTTGCTGTCCTTCTACTTCCTCCTGTTTAAGGGCCAATTGACTGCGCCAACTTGGCGCACCGGACCATTCCTTTAAAGCTTTTGTATGGGAGAAATATTGATAATAAAGATGTATCACAAGGGAGACTCCCAAAAATGATATCCCTGAAAAAAGAAAGCCAAAGTAGAGGACCTGGGAATGCTACAGTAGAAGATTAAAAGCTACTATCCTATGGACAAGACGATCCCAAGTCCTTTAGTCAGTGAATAATGATTCAGTTTCTAATGATTGGTTGACTTTATAGTACTCATATGCATTACATTAAAATATATAAATATATACATATATAATAAGGGAAGTATATAAAATTAACTTTCCGTAAGCTTTGGTCTGCAGTTGAGCAATTCATCTTATTTATTTGCCTTATATTATAACAACTATATTTTATGACACAGCATGAGAGCTAAAAAGGGTTAAACACTGAATTAAATTTCCAGCTATAGCATATATAATCCTTAGACTGAGAAAGTTGTGTTAATTCTTATTAAATAACAAAATAAAAAAAAATATATGATTTTCCATGAACCTTAAACACAAAATAAATAAATCAATAAATGAGCATCAAAAAGAATATGCTACAAAAATCTCATGAAAGCTCTTTCTGTCAGCGTGGACATGATTTTTAATTAAATGTTCCATTTTACAAGCATTGTGGCCAC